AAGAGCGGACAGGACCGGAAGCGGTCCGAGATCGATCGCGGCCACCGCCGATGTCTCTGGTTGAGTCGCGTCTTTAACGAGCTTCTCCGGTCTCTCGACACGGAGATCGTCATGCACCTGGAGTCGGCTCTGATGGGAGATCGCCAGAGGCACTTGACTTGGAAGGATCACCGTCTCGTAAGAGGGTGCCGACAGGACTCCGATCGTCTCGACGGGTTGAACGGCCTTCAGACGAACGTTATTGTGAACATCAACGCGGCTCTGAGAAGAAGTTGCCGTGCCGATCAATCTCGGGACTAAAATCGTGTCCGAGAGTTCGTAAACAGGCGCGACGACGGATGCCGTAGTGCCGCGATTGGTCCGACCCGCCTCGGTCTTTTCCTCCTGCGCTGGAAGCTCCTGGGAACTCTTCGGTGAGGCGTTTGCCGAGTCCCGATCTTCTTGGGAACTTGGATTCTCTGTCCGATCTTGATTATCGGTCGATGCCTCGAGACTGCGTTTTCTGCGGCTCGTCGTGCGCTCCACCTCCTCCGCGGCAGTGACCTTCGCGTCTTCCTGCAGGACGTTGCTGGCTAACAGGACCTGCTCACCGGTCCCAAGCGGCAGATTGGTCGCCGCGACGCGGAAGCCGCCCTCATCGGCAACGTAGAAGACGGATTGTAGGATACCATGTGCATCTATGTAGCTGTAGGAGCCACGCGTGACCCCGTCGAGACCCCGGACTTCCTCCTTGGCGGACGGGCCGCCGGCGTAACTGTATGCGTGCACTCCGACGCGCGTGTCCTGCGACTGATGATACACCGGAAGCGGATTCGCCAGATAAGCGTAGGGCAGCAGGGTCAGCTGCGCGCTTGTCGCCACACCGAGGATCGCGAAAATTGGAATCTGCGAGAGAAGAATGAGATTCTTATTCTCGCTGCAAATACGCGAAAACTGCCAATGTTGAAATAAACAAAGTATGCATAATCGTTTATAAATATATACTGTTTCCTAGTTTAATCTACACTGTGAAAAATTCTCTAAAAATTCAGACACATTTTTGTTTAAATTTTCAGATCTGGGTGTCTAAAAGAAACTTTAGACAATCTGTCTTAATCATCAGAGTCGTTTTTCTGAAAGTTCAAAAGAGTGTTTGAAAATTGAAGTGTGTCCAAAAATTCAGACAGTATTCTGTCTGAAAATTCAGACGGTGTGTCTGCAAAAAAACTGCAGACATTTTGTCTGAAGTTTCAGTCATTTTTTTACAGTGAAATCAGAATTTAAATTCTTCAGAAAAAATGCAGTTTTTTTCCGAATAAAATTGTAAAGCGATATTTTTTTCACTTGCTCCGTCTGTATCGACAAGTTTATCGCATTCGCCGATAAGAGATTCCGACATCCTTACGATCATCACGGGATTAAAGAACGATATCTCGGCTGCAATTCCCGCGAGCGATATTCCGTTAATAGATATCGGGCTGCGGCGGGAGAGACAACAATACGCGTACGGTGCGATATTCGTTATACGCACGTTTGTACGCTCCGCATGGCAGAAAGTTTGGTCGGATGCGCTTTATCCGGAGAGCACGCGAGAACAATGCGAATCGCGAATGCGCTCGTCCTCGGGACGTTCATCTCGAATGCGATCGTCGCGATATTAGATTTATTTGCGCGACTATCTAGTCGTGCATTTTCGGATTCGCCTTTTCAAGAGGCGCGAGAATGCATCGGGCATTTTAGAGTATCTCCTCGGATGAGAGATGAGAGCAGACGCTTCTCACAGGGGACAGCCAGCGAAATGTTCGACGAATTTTACACCCGATATCGGGTAACGCAGGGGCAACACGTGTGGGACGAGAGGGGGGTGGGCTTATATACTTGCATGAGCCTCTCGGGAGATCCAGCCTCTCTTTACGATCCAATAAGGCCTGAAGAAGTGACGACAGACACCAACGGAGAAAAGTGCGCGGTCGGCCCTTTATGCGTCAAGTAGTATCGAAAAAAAGTCAACGACTCCAATCTACATTTTTATTTTAAACCAGTCCATGCAACGCGTCTTACATATATGGACGAGTACAATCGAGCGAGAACAAATTTTTCTGTCTGTAAATTTCTAGCTGCAATTTGTTGGCAAATTTAAAAAGAGATCGAGAGCAATGAAGAAGCAAATACAATACAAAAATAACTGATGAAAAGTAATGACTAAATCTCTCCTATTATATAAAAAAAACACTAACATGTTGCATTAACAAATATCTCATATATCACTTAAATAGTAATTGAATAAAATATTAAAACATCGGCACTGGATAAAAATTTTTGTTCAAATTAATAATGAAAAATTTCAGAAATCACGACCACTGCGTATATTAGTTTACACGCTTGAAAAACAAAATGCTTGGTGTCTGTGTTCATATTTAAATAAGCAACTTTAAAATCGAATTCTTCGAAAGCGTTATAGTGTGATGTTGATAGTACCCAATGATTTAAATCACTATAAACGTTAAATAAACAGCCGTAAAATAGTTGTAGCACACGCTGGTACGAGCAAAGCTGACTAGAAAAAATTTGTGTAGCGAAAAACGGAGGGGAGTTCTATACGGTGTTGGATAAGAGTGCCATTTAGCAAGAAGGCTTGGCCGCCATAAAACGCGCACAGTGATCGCACTCTTGCGAATCGTGGATTTTACACGTGCGCGCGTACATTTTTCAACGCTTTTATATCTCGACAAAAAGCAAGTAACCCGGCAGGCGTCGCGCAAACACAACCCTTGCAAATAAATTGTAAGGCCCACTCGTATATATCACTCTCGCGGACGTGCACTTCCCACTATTTAACAACTGTAATAAAGACCTCGCTTCGCTTCTAATATCGCACATAGTAGTTAAAAAAATAATTTTCTAATACGTCGTGACTTTACATATGAGACTTTCGTGCGCACATGAGAATATTGATATACAAGAATTTAAATATTAATCGAATAATTAATTAATTAATACCAATCAACAAAAAGAATTAGTTTCTATAACTAATTAAATTCCATTTAATGAAATTCCATTAAATAAAATTTAATTCGCGAAAGAAATTAATTTTTTTAGTCCACACAATGTATATGAAACATCGTTCGTCATAATTAATTATCTGCGTTTCACTTTTCAGGAACTAAAGAAGTAGAAACCAAGAAAGACAAAATGTATTCCTTGAAATGAGAAAATTGAGTAAAGAACGTAAGAAGACTTATTTAAAGAATGAGCTGAAATAGATTGCGCTTACCAGTGCCTGCATAGTGCTTGATGTGCCTCTGCCGACCTCCTTACTGCCTGAAGGACTGTCCAGGCTATGCACCTTGCTCGCAATCTGGTTTTGACTTATATATGCGCCGCGAGCTGCGCGAGATGTCTTTGAACCAGGAACCTGAGGAAATGTCGAAGGACGAGGCGGATCCGCTCGCCATCGAGACGGGATACGTCGTCCCGGATTACATCGGTCGATTCGCGGGTCCCCGCGAACACCTCGTCATCTACCGTGCCATCGCCATTTCCTTCGTTTCGTTTTCTCGTAAAGACGAGAAAAGTACTGTACCAAATGCTTGTTTTTCTTCGCGGAATATATATTATATATACATTAATATAAATTTGCATTCTCACATTTCTAAAAAAATCAAACATCGTTAAATATAATTACTATTATTAAAAATTTATTTAAATTTTTAAAAAGCTAACTCTCCCCTAAAACAGTTAATATTAAATTCTAAAACTAATTTAGATTCTTTTTAATAAAATCTATTGGCCTAATTCAGCCAAAATCCTAATAAGAAATAAAATACAATGGATGCAATACAAAATTCTATAGTTTCGTATATCTACTATTAGACCAGCTGAACAAATATAATTTTTATTTTCATTACATTCATTACATTTTTGTATTTTAATCTATTTATTTATCACAATTTATGCACATTCTTTCACTATTATTTGTTTCTAAAAAAAACTTTTCGTAATCAACTAAAAAAGCCAATAATTTATATTTGGCCTTAATAAGACCAATCTGTTAACAATGAATAGTAAGCGTTTAATTCTTCGCGACAAATTCTCGATAGACTAATTATCGTAATTAACGTAAGATCGGGAGTTGGACGAGGCGAGAGCTTGGGAAAACATTCGATTTACTCGAGGTCGTTCAATGATCCCAATCGCGTAGAATTTCTTCGGTCGTAACACGAACCCTTTTCTTTGGCTTCGTGCACCAGAGGCTGCATTCGACCTCGGATCATTTAATTTGCAACACTGTAATGCATTTTAATGAGATTCCTGGGCAAGACTCTTGTTCCGGTTACGATAAATTCTTTAGCTCATAATAATTAAAACGATGTAAAGATCTGAAAGAGAAAAATGGTTCAAAAGACTGCGACATTTTTTTCTTAAAAGTTTGTATCGCCTGGGGGATACTTTTGCTAAGATCTTTTGAAAAGTGGTTTCATTATTTTACGGACGAGTAAATTGACATTCATATTATTAGTATATAACGTTATCATTATAGAATAAAAAATTGCTGCGATGGTTGGACGACATCAAGGCCATCCGCTCTCGCCCGCGGTGTAACGTCATCTCATTTTTACCTTTTATAAATACGCGTACTTGTTTTATATGAATTGAAGCTTGTTCTTTAAGTTTAATGTGCGCGTTTAATAAAGCGCATATTACTAAACTTTGGTTTCAAAATTCATTCATATCATAAGTTTGCTAACAGGCTCAAGTAACATGTCTTTAATTTTCTTGAAGATGCGCCAGGAAGAGGAAACTAAAATCTAACCTCCTTTTCTTAATGCTTCTTCTACTTCTACGACATGAGAAGTACCGCGTATTTAACAAATTACGTATTTATAACGGTAAAAAAACTGGTTTTTGCCTTTCTAATGCTATCGCAAATTATTATGTACATATGTATATATAACAACTAAAGTTTTAGCTGCATTTTATTTATATAATTTTATATATATATTTAATTCTGTATGTTATAAATTTTATATAATATAATTCTTTTTAAATTTTATATATAGTTAATTAATAAGGCATACACGCATACATAAATGTTTATAATTTAATCACGTTAATTTTCTGTTTTCATATTCAGTCTCTCTTTAAAGAAAATCGTTTTGACAAGAATTATTTCTCGCAAATCTAACATGTAATTTCGAATTTTGAGGAAATATCTCAATCTTCTGATCTCATTGGTGGTATCACAATGAAAAGTCGGAACATAAGAAAACGTAGGCGGATAATAGCATCCACAGAATATCGAGTTCGATCTCGGCATGGTATACTCGAGAGGGTTTTTTATTATGCCACACTAGTGCACAAACGCGATATAAATAGAAACGTTACGATAAGCAGGAAATATAACTTCCATAATACGATGCGGTCAGTTACCCCCGTGTTATTATGAATTTTAAACAGCACGTGCAATAGCCTTTAATTCACGCCTGTATTCCATGCGCATACACGTGCCAATTTAGTCAATTTTTAATCTCAAATTCCTTTAAGGAGAGCACGATCAGTACCGATTTAACCGAGAATCTAACAACCCGAACAACCAGGATGTAACCTTTAGGATTCTCACGGGGGATACATTTATTGCCAATTTCTAAGAATCCCGCGCTTCCTCATTCTTCCCATAGTAGGGTACCGTTTCGCGGACAAATCCGACGACCAGGACACGCCTTTTCGAGCGAGTCCACCAGCGCGAGGTAACAACGGGCCGTGACCTTTCAGATGGTTCTGCTCGCTTCCGGTCATCGTCCGCGCCGCGGTCGCGAGGAGACTGTCGGCTGGAACGTGGGCGCAATATCTCGGGATATCTCGTCCGCACTCGCGGTGACACGACGCGTGATCTCGTGTTCGCAAGATCCGTCGTCTATTTGCTTCTCCACCATTATGTGCTACCAGCGGCATCAGCATCAGCAGCAGCAGCAGCAGCAACAACACGTGGGAGAGGGACGTCATCGGTGCGCTCATAGGCGAGAATAGCTACGAAAGCGTGGATAATCAGAGAATAGGCTCCCGCATGTCGATGTGAGCGCCGAAGGCCGGGAAGACGAAGAGCGCGGTGATGACAAGAAAAATGCGACGAGAGGATAAAGGCAGAAGAGATCGCGCAAGGAAGCCGACGGGAGAGGGAACGGAATACGAGAGACGATAATGGTCGGATCGTGAACACGGTCGGCAGAAACATTCGATTACTCGAGCTCGCTCACGCTGCTCTCCTCGCGTATCGTAGGTCAAGGCACCTCTTATTTCCTTAACCCTTCGCGGCTCGATGTGACTTCAAAGTAATGCACCGACCGGCGCTTTTTCTTTTTCTCTATCTCTCTCTCTTCTATCTTTTTCTATCGCAACAATATACAAGAACTTATCGTCTTATGATTGCAAAATTATGTTGACGATATCGTGCGATGTAATTACATATATTTGTCGAGATATCGAGGTGTTATCAGAAAGATAAATTTAATTTGTATATATAATTATGATTTTTTTATTTTATATATAATTATATTGATTTATTTAAAATTCTATAAAAAAGATGCATACGCGCGTATTTCGTTGAAAGAATATTCCTCATCAAAAACACAGAATTAATTTTTTCTACCGATTTTCTTTCAATGCCATTTTCTTCGCAAACTTCAAGTCACAACAAAGATAACTCTTTTGCAAGTTATTCCAAATTAGTTATGTAAACTAACACGCATACATAAATGTTTCTGATATTAATTAATCACAAGATTTTTATTAAAAAGATGTAGATCAACTTGTGCAAATACCAAATAAGTAAAGAAAAATGTGTGAAAAAAATTTTTAATGTCTAATTATAGATAATTTTCTTCTAAAATGTGATCATTGATTCCTCGATATAATTACAATTTATAATTTATAAGCATAAAAAGTAAGATCGTCAATCTAACGATCGCGAGACAATTGCTGAGAGTTTTTTTCTCGCGAGTAATTCGATTGGCCTTGATCAGGGCCGCGACAAGCTCGTGTTCAGGTTCAGAGCGAAATTGTTCGCCTGTCGCGTGACTTTTTTATCCCATTTTTCCCGGGCCGCAGACCGCAGACGTTCAGGAATCCTTTCCCTGGCACAATAACATCACACGACCCTCGTCCTTGGCGGTGCTGGCAATTGCGATGACCCGGACTCGCGAGCATACCTCTAACGAGTATTATAATGACATAAAGGGTTGGCGCGGAGGATCAACCTGTTCACCGCGCGATGCGTAAACTCGAGATCGCGCGAATATTTGCATATCCGGTTTCTCTGAAAGCAACACGGGCACGGAATTTTAAATGCGATCGATAAATCGCATCATGATAGGTTACGTGAGATATATGCGAATTACAATGCTTATTATGAGTAATAATTGAGCATAATTAATTGTGACATCATCGACATTTTTATCAGATACATTGATATCATTAGATTGAAATATGTATTTAATAATGTAAATAATTAATTTCCGGGAAAAGTGTTAATTAAACTCTTAAATCTAATATATATATATGTAAAAATATTAAATTAATCTAATATATTTAAAAATCTAATATATACATATAAATCAATATATACGATAAAATATTATAGTAGTAGTACGCGATCTCCATAATATCATGGAAGATAAAAACTTTTCGGCAGACATCAAAATTTTTAATTTAATAAACATTCTTTACTTTTTATCAACAACTCATCAGTCTTGAAAATCGCATAAAAAGAGAAAAATATTCAGTAAAAATTTGGCAAATATCACTTTTAAGATTTCGAAAATGCTAAAATATCCAAATTAGAAAAAAGAATCTTTTATAATTTAATCACGTTAATTTTCTGTTTTCATATTCAGTCTCTCTTTAAAGAAAATCGTTTTGACAAGAATTATTTCTCGCAAATCTAACATGTAATTTCGAATTTTGAGGAAATATCTCAATCTTCTGATCTCATTGGTGGTATCACAATGAAAAGTCGGAACATAAGAAAACGTAGGCGGATAATAGCATCCACAGAATATCGAGTTCGATCTCGGCATGGTATACTCGAGAGGGTTTTTTATTATGCCACACTAGTGCACAAACGCGATATAAATAGAAACGTTACGATAAGCAGGAAATATAACTTCCATAATACGATGCGGTCAGTTACCCCCGTGTTATTATGAATTTTAAACAGCACGTGCAATAGCCTTTAATTCACGCCTGTATTCCATGCGCATACACGTGCCAATTTAGTCAATTTTTAATCTCAAATTCCTTTAAGGAGAGCACGATCAGTACCGATTTAACCGAGAATCTAACAACCCGAACAACCAGGATGTAACCTTTAGGATTCTCACGGGGGATACATTTATTGCCAATTTCTAAGAATCCCGCGCTTCCTCATTCTTCCCATAGTAGGGTACCGTTTCGCGGACAAATCCGACGACCAGGACACGCCTTTTCGAGCGAGTCCACCAGCGCGAGGTAACAACGGGCCGTGACCTTTCAGATGGTTCTGCTCGCTTCCGGTCATCGTCCGCGCCGCGGTCGCGAGGAGACTGTCGGCTGGAACGTGGGCGCAATATCTCGGGATATCTCGTCCGCACTCGCGGTGACACGACGCGTGATCTCGTGTTCGCAAGATCCGTCGTCTATTTGCTTCTCCACCATTATGTGCTACCAGCGGCATCAGCATCAGCAGCAGCAGCAGCAGCAACAACACGTGGGAGAGGGACGTCATCGGTGCGCTCATAGGCGAGAATAGCTACGAAAGCGTGGATAATCAGAGAATAGGCTCCCGCATGTCGATGTGAGCGCCGAAGGCCGGGAAGACGAAGAGCGCGGTGATGACAAGAAAAATGCGACGAGAGGATAAAGGCAGAAGAGATCGCGCAAGGAAGCCGACGGGAGAGGGAACGGAATACGAGAGACGATAATGGTCGGATCGTGAACACGGTCGGCAGAAACATTCGATTACTCGAGCTCGCTCACGCTGCTCTCCTCGCGTATCGTAGGTCAAGGCACCTCTTATTTCCTTAACCCTTCGCGGCTCGATGTGACTTCAAAGTAATGCACCGACCGGCGCTTTTTCTTTTTCTCTATCTCTCTCTCTTCTATCTTTTTCTATCGCAACAATATACAAGAACTTATCGTCTTATGATTGCAAAATTATGTTGACGATATCGTGCGATGTAATTACATATATTTGTCGAGATATCGAGGTGTTATCAGAAAGATAAATTTAATTTGTATATATAATTATGATTTTTTTATTTTATATATAATTATATTGATTTATTTAAAATTCTATAAAAAAGATGCATACGCGCGTATTTCGTTGAAAGAATATTCCTCATCAAAAACACAGAATTAATTTTTTCTACCGATTTTCTTTCAATGCCATTTTCTTCGCAAACTTCAAGTCACAACAAAGATAACTCTTTTGCAAGTTATTCCAAATTAGTTATGTAAACTATAATTCGAAAAGGAGTTTAGGAATTTAGTTACCTACCCGCATCTCTCTGAAGCCTAAATTGATTCTGTTTTTTTAATGGTACAAAAATCAACGTCTTGTATATATGGCCCGTTAATTTTATCAATAAAAGATTATTTCAAGTTTTGACAAGGAATACCTTAATGACCAAATTCATCGAGCATTTTATCATCTCAATGTCAACTATTATATTTCTACCTTGCCATCCTGCCATTGCGGCAAAGTTACCATTGATAATTTATCGTTTATCGCACGCAGCATCGGATATCAATGATATCTCTCGCATGCGCGAGAATAGCGAAGAGAAATCATCAAGCCGCCGCCAACATCACTTCTTCCTCCTCCTTTTATAGATCCTGGCGGATCGACGCGAACGTTTGGAGTTATATCTCGACGGAACGATGCTTTAGAATTCCAACAAGATGCACGCGTCCGCGGACAGTAAAATCCTCTCTCCCCTATCCCCCTCTTCCTGCGGAAAAATCGCCGCTGATGGAAGCCCCGTACGTGAAGGACCACCACCCACGCAACTTCACCGCATCGTCTGCCGCGAGATCCGGTCACATATTTGCGCAGGTCGCTTTACGTCGTAAACAACAAACATAATGCAGTCGAGCCACGAATGAGCCACACCCGTGTACATACGCACTCATGTAACACACACGCATTACGCACCTATGCACGAGTTATATTCGCATACATATACATATCGCAGCAAGGACTCGACGCAAAACTATCCACGCGACGTAACATCGCTCTTCGCAGTGATCGAAAAATACCAGATAAAGCAGATAAATAAATGCTCTTTCGCTTGATAAATTTCATAAGTCGCTAAGTGGCCCTTTATCGTGTATATTTAAATTAAAACGATTGTACAACCAAAAGGCGTGTATACTGGAGGCTCGATTTGGTGTGACTGATGAACCGGTTCACCAGTTGTAAAGTGCGCTAAACGATAAACGTGATTCTTATAACTAAACAACACTCGATGCATACTGAAGGCACTAATATATATAAGTCCATTGTAAAATTGAAATTAATTGAAATTAAATGAAAAATAAAATTTCTTATCTATTTTTATATCCTTACAGTTTAATATGACCATTTAACTCCGAATTATAATTAAAAAACCGTCAATCTATTCAGATTTGTTTGTAGTGCCGGTAACTGTAATAAAAAGTATGATATTTCTAGATGATTAGGTATGTATATAATTTCGAACTCAGAAATGGACGAAGTTAAAACTCACAAGTTTTCCATCTAACTAATGGAGTACAACTTTTTCCGTAACTCTCTGCGTTTTCATGTGGCAAGTGAAAGCGGGACTGGCAATGTCCCGCTTTTTCTGCCTGATTAAAAATTTACACTCCACGGAGCAAACTTTCTATCGCATTTTAACGATCGATCGTACTTACCGATTCTAGCTGGGGCGTCGCGGACATCGCCAATTATCTCTCCTGACCCGAGACCCTGTCGACGCTCGAGATCAGAACGATAATGGACCGGTCGATAGAAGCGCGAACATCCCGATGTTGCCGATATGTTCCGTTCCATGAGTATGTTTACGAAATGACGCGACTCAGTGGTAGATCGTACGGTCGACATTTCCAATAGAACGTTTGAAATTACCCGTAAGGCTTGTTTCGATCGATCACTATCGGAATATCGCCAAAATGGTGGAAATTGCTCGCCACTAAACCCTTATGGTCAATCGGCATTTGTATTTATCTGCAAGCCGATCGCGAAATAGATCATGAGCAGAATGATCGACGCAAGAAACTCTTATTTGTCCGACTGTAATTACTCTGCTCCGGTGACGTCGGGATAGGTGGGTTAGCACTACCGGATGTACACTCAGGATGTTATAAAGTCATTGTCGGCTCACGGTTAAGGGTTAATTACACGCTGCCGCGTGTAACGCGCCTTGGGCTACATTAAACTTTGGACACCATTGATTTGTGGCGTTACTAACCCTCGCATACACATACACACATGTATATATGTATGTATATATATTTATACAGGGTGTCCGGTAATAACCGTATCACTCTCATGTGCAGGTAAAGCGGGTTAGTTAAATTGAGGCAAAAAATCCATTACCATTTTGCGATTTTCGTAATAATTGAGAAATTAATTTAAAAAGATCGGCCAATTCGCGCGAGTATAAGTGCGCAGTGAAAAGAAACAGCCCATTGATATATGATTGCTAGGATGCGAGAATCCAGCGTTATGTACCGCTCGTATATAATCATTGTCATTTATAGAACGCCCTCCAAAACTTTGTGCGCTTATACTCGCAGGAATTGGTCAATCTTTTTAAATTAATTTCTCAATAATTAAATAAAAATTCTTTTCAATAATTAAACAAAAGTCGCAAAATGGTAAAGAACTTTTTTCTTCAGTTTCACCTGCTTTACCCTGCACACGCGAGGTGATACGGTTATTACCGGACATCTTGTATACATTTACGTTTGTATATAAATATTATATACATACACATATATATAGTATACTTTCAAAGAAATAAGACACGCGAAATAGATAAATTTATATATTATATACCTCAATCAGCTATATATCTTCGGGTTCGACGGTTATATATAAAATTTTTCCTTTTCTTATAACTTGCAATTTTATCGATCCTGGTTGTTCTAAAACCTTATAAATATTAGTCGAATCCACCACAGGGTCGCCATTAGCATGAGTCACTACATCTCCAGGCTGTAATCCAGCACTGCAATAATAAGATAATATTTAAATTTTTCGGCATTAATATATTTTTACGTATGCTTCATGTTACAATATATTGGTGCAATTTTTTCAATATTAAGTATCATTGTAATTAAATGTTTTAATTTATAGTTTTGATAAATTTACTTGAATATTGTCTTATTATCTATTTTTGCAGTTTGCTTATCTACTATTTATTATCTATTTTGCTATCTATTCTGATTCTCAGTTTATAAAAAACAATTTTAGTAATTTATCACTTCATATTATTATTTAATATATTTAAAAAAAAAAAACTCGCGAAAAATGAAACTTGAAAAATTAACTTTTCAAGTTAATAAATTCTCATATGATTACAAAATTTATGATGATAAAAAAAAGGAATACTTTGTTACTTACTTATGAGCTGGAGATCCAAGCATTACTTTCCACACAAGGACTCCGTGCCTAACATGCATGTACTCATTATATTGTTGCATCTCAAGTAAGGTGTCTGGCATTAGAGTTTGCATTGTGATGCCCATATATCTTCTCCTAGGTCCTTCTTGAAATGTTACACCTACAAGAATAATCTCTGATATCTTCCTTACATTACATTGTGATGGAGTAAAAAAATACTTTGCATTACCTTTATCTTTCTTACGTAATTCCACTTTTTTCAAGAATTCTTTTGCATAGTCTATAGGTATGGCAAATGAAATTCCAGATGTCACTTTCATTGCATTTATCCCTATTGCTTCCCCATTTAAATTCACTAACGGTCCACCTGAATTTCCAAACTAGAAAAAAATTTGATTTTGTTAATGATAAGAGATAATATCTAATATTTATAATAAAATAAACAATTGTTTGGAACTAACAGTAATTGCTGCATCTGTCTGAATATATCCCATATGTGGATTATGCAAACCAAGTTCTTGACTTTGTCTATTTACACTGCTTACTACTCCACTTGTTATAGTGTTGCTAAGAGCTAATGGAGAACCAATAGCCACTACAAATTCTCCTGGTCTGATATTGGCTGAGCAACCAAGCTTCATTACAGGCAGATTGGTCTATGCAATCAAACGATATATAAATTAACAATTGCAATAACGTATAAAAGCACACACATATATATATATATATTATAATAAATCGATATAAAAGATGTATCCAATAAAATTTATATATTCATTAGATATACCTTTTTTATTCGCACAGTAGCAAGATCACTTTGCAAGTCAACATCTTCTATTACTCCAGTATATGTACTACCGTCATAAAGCCGCACCTATGTAAGAAAATAAGAGACACGAAATAATTTGAAACAGATATAAGAAATCAACAGCTATAATCAATAATAGAAATTTTATCAAATAATAATAATTAAATTAAAAATAGATTCAGACATAAGATTTAAAATATTTGTATATAAGGCATGAATAATTATTTGATATTACTTGTAACATATTTACAGGATGTTTAAAAAGAATAGTGGGGTTCCCAAAGGACTCACATTTACCTTCACTGTTGTATTGGGCTTATTTACTACAACATGAGCATTTGTTAATATTAAACCATCTTGACTAACGATAAATCCTGATCCATTACTGGTGGTAGCTGGTTTCCCAGTAAAGAAGTCTATCCTAATTCAAGAGAAAGGAAAAGCAATTAATATCTGTTTATCATAGATATATATATTGTTTCTCATAATATGTAATCTGTGTTCATATTTACCTCCTATTGTCCTTGATCTCAATATAAACTACGGATGGCGCGGATATCTCCACTACGTCCGCTATAAAATTGTACCTATCCCTGTTCTGATTACCATTGGACGGCGGCAATGAAACGGCATGAATGACGGGACAATTAGGGACGGCCAGATTTTCAATTCTCCGCCATATATCATCTTTCCAATTATACAAAACATAGCCGAGACCTACCGCCGAGATGAGCGCGGTACAGGTTAAGAACTCTCTCGATTTGCTGTCGTTTACCCTTCGACCCTGATGCTGATGCGAATGGAACACCCGGATTCTTGCTTTATATCGCTCGGCGAGTACGATCGTCGCGAACCGTGACAGTTTCGAGCTGTCTCGCGCCAGAAACGTCAACGGTAACCGCGACAAGGGAAAGGCCATCCTTCAAACCCTGAGTATCCTGACACGAGCTGCTGAGGTCGGTTGGTAAAAATCAAAGATCTCGTTACAATTCGAATGCGCGCGATCGCGTCGAATGCCCATTTTTATCCGATTTTCAAGGAAAAATATTAATTCTCGATGCCCCGTATCATGTTCATTTGCATAAAGACTTGGAACGATTTTGAATCCTCGCGCCCGATTGTTCGAAAAACAGGAGCTGGCTTTTGCTGGCTTTCGGCAAATTTCATGCGATTCCTTCGACTCTTCGAACCGATTGGTTGAAATTCAAACCTTCGATACACGCTCGGTATATAAACTTATATAGAATAGAAATATAAAAATAAACTCAGTATTGACATTGTACATATAATATATTGTACATTTTTTCAAGGAAGGAAAATATATTTTTAATATGCTATGAGTAATATATTATATATATATATTTTTTTATATATGTCTATGAGTAAACTCCGCCAATGTGACAAAATTTGCAATATCCGCGATAACAAAATAGTTCCTAATATCATACGGATATTCCTTATCACACACAAGAAAACGCATTAATTATAAATAATCAATATTCAAAATAATCTATAAAGAATTTGCAACGTCACCAAAGTGTCATTGATAATTTCTTCAAGAATTTTATTTGAATATGTTATTCATTTATAATCTAACATTGTTCGTATTCCGCGGGATAAAAACGCGACGCTAACTTGTTGCATCGCAACTCCTCCGCCTCTTTTATCGCAGGACATCGTACTGTACGGTACTGCAAGAAGCGAAGCTTCTGGTAATATATTTGCACAGGTAAAACTATCAAAAAGATAATCGTAGTAAATATATACGCGATTATTCGCAACAGCGTCTTATATCCGGATTAAATTGTGAAATTAGTAATATGGCTTTTTAATTAGTAATTATAGCCATAATTAGTAAATTATGGCTGGAATTTCGAGAGTCAAAGATCCGTCGATATTATTCTTGGATCGGGTAACCGGCCAATACACACGGTGATCGAATCTATCAAGTTTTTGACAGAAATTCCACAATATCATTGATTTGATATAAGTATTATGTAGTGCTATGTAAAAAAATGCTAGAAATTTATATTTTATATTTCTTTATGAGAGATTTTTTACTTGGCGCTGCAAATTTCGAAGAATTTTAAAGAAATTTTTTGTTGCTTTTTAAACGAGATTTATATATGTAATTTTGATTAAATATCAATTTAATCAAAATAGAGTTTTTTTATGTTAGTACAATTCTTAGTACAATTGTTATTGTTAGTACAATTCTATTATAAATACATACATACTTATAAGAAATTATATTTATACAGAATAAAGATTGATATAAAATATTAATCCACTTACAATTAGAAATAATAAGTTGCCAATTATAGCTAAAGTTATCCTGAAATATATATAAATAGATTAAAAAATTTATATAATTTTATTTTTAAATTATATTTTTTTAATAAATTAAATTTTTTTATAAATTTTTATTAGATTTTTTACATAGAATTCGTGCTTGTGAGAAATTCAGTTATTCATATTTTTGAATCTTTGTACTTAAACTTTTCGTTAAGTATTTATATATGGATATTTTCATTCATAATATTTTCACTCATAGTATTTTAAACATTATGAACATTCTAACTATGTGCAAAAATAATAAATTATATTTAATAAGAAGCCATTTATTATTGCGAAAGCCATAATTTTTCTTGATCGGAAAAGATTTGAATAAAAAATACTGAAAAGAAATTATTTAATATTTATTATGCATAATACAAAATCAATACAAATTTACATTAGTTTATTTATCTTATTCATTGTCATTTTTTATTCTTGAGAGTTTCTTTTTATTCTGTTTTAATTTTAAGACTTCTTTTCTACCAATGAGAACATTTTGTTTAACAATCTCTTTTGAATATTTGATTTTATGCTTTTTAACTGAAGATTTCATCAATTCACTTTCTGCTTTGCGTTTCTCAACTCCTTTACCTTTCTTTATATCTATCTCAGGTATATTCTCACAATCAGTAGAAAGTAAATTGAGACATTCTTTTCCAGTATGACCTATAAATAATACAATAAAGTATTAGCAGGAACAATAATTAGAAATATTAAAATTATATTGACACGTGACATGTACCTAATTCATTGCATTTAAAACATTTTCCTACAATATTTGGAATTTGGCCACATGTATGTTTCTCTAACATACATCTGTTACATGTTTTGCAATGCTCCCAAGTAGGCTTTACACATCGTTTACATATTTTACAATGCTTATATGTACGACCATCTTTGGAAGTACATTCCTTGCATCTCTTGCAATGCTTGTTTTCACTAGACACCCACTTTTCACAATCTTTGCAAAATTTGTATCCATCAGACATAGGAAGCTCTAGTAACTTTAATGATATATTTGTAAAGATTCTTACTGGGGAACCATGTTTTCTACCTTGTTTACCTGACACAAACAAAGGATGATTATCATAATCCACTTTATAATCAGACATTATCAAATCTTTCAAGCCGCCAGCTATTGATGGTGGATTGCTCTTTTCTCTCATTATATTTTCCATAAAATATGGAAACATAAACATAATGTTCAAAGAAACATTATTGTTATTTAATTTTTTGTGCAGGTCAAATATCGTTTTTATTGTGTAAGATATGGGTTCTACACGACCCCCAAATGGGGGATCACATATTAAATAAGTATTCTTTCCTTCATTTTGAGTGATAAAATCTTTGAACACGTTAACAGCATCTTTGTTAAAAAAGTGATGATTGAAAAGATTGTACCAACAATAATCCAATGGTCCAAAAAAGTTATGCTAGAATTGTGTATGAAAATCATATATCCATTAAAATTTATTTATTAATATTATTACATTTATTTATTAAACAAATTTATAATCTCTATTTTTTATACTTACAAATCTTCCATCAAAGTCTAAGAGGAGAGAAGACATTTTGTCTATATAATGTTCAGTTATATATTCATGTATTCTTGGTGTTCCAATACAAAGAATCTGCGTAGCTCCAAGCTTTAAAAGCATCTTTGTTATGTCCTCTGTTGATTTCTTAGAAAATAAATATTGTGCTTCTTTCTTTGCATTATCTAGAGGTTTTAGAAGCTTCGTCGGATGATGCAATTGATGATCTGTCAAATTCTTTGTAATATCATGATCGATATGCTTATCTTTTTCAGAACTAAAAATTAATCTCTCACAATCATGGCAGTAACATCTCTGTGTCACGGATTGTGCTTTGATTTCGTTGAAACGAATATACAATTTTTGATGAGGATAATGCTGAGTGAGTTTTTTCTTTTCCTGCTCCCATACATTTTTGCGAGATTTGGATAGTTCTTGCCCATACTCTAGATAGAATCTACATAATTTTCTATCACGACAAGCAGAGCATGCATAAAATTTCTTTAATTCCTCACCAACATATGTACCAAATAGTAATGTTGGCCCTATAAAAGATTAATTTTCTTGAAAAAAAATATAATTTTTTAATATAAAAATTAATTTCAATATATATATTTGTACAGGTATGACGATTACCATGAGGGCATTGTGGATGACTTTTGAGACCTCCCCATAAACATACTACACCACGTGTACCATCCATTTTGTCATATCAACAATTTATTGTACAGGTGAGTTTAAATCCACATATTTGTACTTCTTCACGCATGCTACCTGCTCTGTTTTTAGGTTTTTACTTTGCACTGCTCATTTGCATAAAATCTGTTATAAATTCCCAATTTTACTACTAGGTGGCAAACACAATGGGCGCGTTCGGCAGAGAAAGCGCTCAGTTATTGTCTTCCCAACACTCGACGTTGATTTGTTGGTTCTAAAAGTAAGAGCCAATCACGTTCGATTGCTACTGAGCGGTTTTCTCTGCTGAACGCGTCCAATTCTTATCTTCCGAGTCAAGCAATTTTGCGCGAAATATAGTTGCTTTATTCTATAAATTTCATTGATAAAGTTGAAATAAGTGATTTTTAATATTCACATTAAAGTTAATTGCATGTTGCAAGTAAAACGAAAAATTTTATTATTTTGAAGAAACACTCTCTCTCTCTATCTTAGAGTTTATCTTAGCATTTGCCAAAAGAGTTTATCCTCTGCGTATAGGATTTACAAAAGATTGATGTACTTGAGAAATTTGAATAGAATTTAATTACACTCACACAAGCCAAATGTATTTTATTGATATTTATTCTACAAGTGCTGTCAATATTTGTTGTCTGGTGTATGCGTAAATTTTCTTATTATAATTTCCTGGAAACATAATAGCAGAATATGTGTAAGGCATATCGATGAGTCTCTACAAGCTCCACACACGACTTTCCTAAATCGCGCTTTTATTTTGCAAGGAATAGGTGAATTAAAAATTAATTTTGATATTTATGTACACATATATTTTAATCTTTATCTATATATAAAAGGAAGAAAGATTTAAAAAATTATTTTGCTTTTATAAAAACAAAAATAAAATACTTTTTTTTTTTTAAATTGTCTATTTCGATAATTAGCGATTTGAGTTTTCATAGAGCACGAGTATCCATTCACCTATTTTTTGCAGGTCATTCGTAATATTATAGCTAAATGTGCGATAACACATCACACAGATTCGATAAATTTTCGTGGGATCATACATTGCAATAATCGTTTTAACTTAAATAATTATATAAAATTCAAAATAAGAAAATGTAAAGTTTTTCTAAAATAAGTATTTTTTTAATTAGTACTATCAAGGTAAAACAAGTTTTTATTAATTAAATCAAAATTAAAATCTTTTAAGAATCGAAGAAACAGTTTAGTTTCATTCTTATCCTAAAGCATTGCTAAATATTTTTCAGAATGTATACATTTCTTAAACTCTGCTCGTGAGTTCGACCTGTCTGCATTCTGCAAGATTATATCACAGACTATTGTTCACAGTCAAAAAGAACATTCGCTAAAAATACGAGCTTAGGGTCACTATAATGATTGATGCTTTTCCGAAACATTTCCATATGGGAACCAGAAAACATCGGAATGAGATAATTATTTTCAATAATTATTTACATCAGTGGACAATATAAAGTCATATTACAACTTATCTATAATAAATATAAGCTTTTCACAATCTTTATTCTCTGTGCCTAATCTTCTTATATAATGATTTTTACGTACACACAAAGGGGAACGTATTTCGTAGTGTTTCATAAGCATATACTCGATTTAATACTGTATGTTTGCTGTAGAGTTCGTAACAGTTATTGAAGCATCTAAAATTAAAACATTAATACAAACGCGATTATAAATACATGAATTTGATCTCTACTCGGTTCTCTTGTATTACATATTTAAATTATATCAAAATGATCTTGTACCGCACTTATGAATTTTTTTATAACTTAATCCTTTTATTCGACAAAAGCTTTTAATTTTTTTCTCTGTATTATTTATCTCATTGACTGTAAAACACAATTATTTATATATTATCTAATTTTTTTATAAAAAATTCTAACATGCATTTTTCGAAAAACTAACGGAAACAATAATTATATTTGTTTTTATTTTGATAACCAATGTCACAAATTCATTTTTTTTATCATTAATTTCATTATGTATGTATTTTTTACTATAAACTATATTTAAATAATTCTCTTTATTTACATAATTGACTATGAAATCTTCTTATTTCAATTTCCTGTACAAATAAATCGTCTCATCTGCATTTAAAATTATTCATCTCTGTTTAATATAAAATTATTTATATACACATTTATCAATCCAATAAAATATTGCTACTAGGAAAAAGATCTTGATGTTGATATAAGAGAAAATTTAATCATATAGTAAGAATAAGGCATTTAAATCCCTTGAAAATTTTTGCATACTTTTTTAATCCAAATTGGTCGCATTAAATAGATTTATTTCAGAAAATTGCTATTAAAAATGTTGTAAAGATATATTCAAAAAATGTATAGCAAGTATATAGTAAAATTCATATAGAATGGTTCACAATAAAAAAAATAGCATTAAAAGATGGCACAATTCCCTAACAATATAGAAATTGTGTACTATCACTATTTATTAATCAGTAAAATCAATTAACTATGAACAAATATTGACCATGTTGTACTTTGTGTTAGTTGTAATTTTATTTTTGCAATATAGAAATTGCTTTCTTTTCTACAGCAAATAATTTTGTATATTTCAATAAAGCTATATCCATGAAATGTGAAAATACGAAATAGGTGCAGTGAGATCGATTTATAACATTTTCTACAAAACGTGATCGAAATTGTTCATTACTTTCTACATGATACTTTTTTCTCGTGTTACTCAATTCTCTCTACGCGATCTATATAGCAAAACTGTCTATAATACAATCTAATAATACTTTATTCTCCTTTTCTTTTTTTTTTTTTAAGGTGCATAATAGCATCCGCGTCGCTAATATATATA